TTATAGTTTTCTCACATTCTGTTTTTTGCTAAATTGGACTGAATACGACCGATATCCTAAGGAGCTGTTACGAATTAACGGGAAATCTATATAGATTAACATCCGTCATTTTCTTTATTTCATTCAAGTTTAACTGGCTTGTAAAATGATACTATATGGCTAATTTTACTACGAATTTATTTTGAATATTAATGAATTGTATTATTAAGTGTTTATTTTAGACACTGCTTTTGACATCAAACTGTTTATGTTGGGTGGCTGATTGAGATTTTCTGAGCTTTGTATCCAACTTTATGTGTTTTTTGCTGCTTGCCTTTTAACTTGCCCATTTATGTCATAAAAAATTTCCAACTAATGGATATTGTTCTCACTATTTGTTTACCCCATCTTTTCCAAAACAACAAGTTGATATTATAATTTTCTTGCCCAGGATTCAATTATGTCCTCATTTTTTCTTCATTAGAAAAAAATATTTTCAGCATCAATTGTTAAGTGTTCAATTTTACTGTACGTTTCAAATTTTGGAGCTTGTCTGGCAGGAACTCAGGTATACTAAATATTTTTTGTCTTATGCTAACAACTTATGTAAGCTTTGTCTCTTTGCTAGGCGGTGCGAGCTGGATTTTTCATTTTACCTAGCCAGCAGCTGCTATTCAAAATTCAAATCAAACTTAAAAACTATATATAATTACTTAAAATATCAAATTACTATTCACATGGTCGTGTTACAAATTTTGATTTCATACTAGCCAAGTAGTAAGCTAACTCTTAGTATTCAAATGAAAACATATAAAAAAAAAAAAAAAGTTAGGCGCCTTAATTTCTTGGAGATGTAAATTAACAAAAGTCATCTAAGACTACAAAGTACAGACAGAGCAAAGACTAAAAATAGATTATATATGTTGCACTTGTTATTATCGATGATGATTTGTTAATTTATTATTAACTCTTTCTCGTTCTTGCTTAATCTCTTTGTTTAGTGTATTGGTATATATGTATGTATGTACATATACTCTGAATGCATATGTGTGCATATTATTATAATGCCAAACATCTTCAATGGCCCCTATAAAAATGTTTTTTTGATCATCTAAAGAAGGTTTGCGAAACAGTAAGTACTTGTTCCAATGCATAAGATAACATGTTTAATAGATAGATAAAGCCAACTAGCTAGTTAGCCTGTGGATTAAGTATTTAGCCTGGTCCATGTAGTATGCAGACAAAGATCATACATAGTACGATGGTCCCAGTTCCATTTGGTTTTGTAAGGGAGAGCATTTATCATATTTTTTGTTCGTCCGTATAGACCTTTTGGGGACACTAACAATGCATCAATATACATAAGGAAAATTTAAACCAGAACCTAATAAGCAATATTTAATTTAGTTGCACTTGGTTTTATACATGAGTAATTTATTGTAAATTTTGTTATGAGTTTGATCATAATCCACCCACTGGACATTAGACCTTCTTGTCCTAGTAATTACGTACAAGTCAACTTGCATGCATGTTGTTGCTTTAAATGGCTCCGCCATTATGAGCTGTCGTTTATTTGCCGGGTGGTGGTGCTTTCTTACCTACCACCATCGAGTAACGATGCATCTGTTCTGTTCCATTATAGCGGCGGTTATCTTACACGTGCCATACGGAATGGAGCACATGCTTGTAAAGGGATTAAATTATTCGCGTTTGGTTCACTACTAACATCATTATTGACAATAATACTTTCTTTTTCTTAAAATGACTTTTAGTTGATGGATCTTTCGAAACTCTGTTACCTTTTCAACAAGCAGCTCAAGAACAGTGACGTGAGTAGCCTCAGAAGAATGGTCCTCCCAAAGGTGCCCATGTGAACATTTTCGTTCATTAAACAATCGGTTCAATTTTTCTGTATTATAAACAAAATAAAAAATCAGAGTAATATTTTGATAAGGTCAACCTTGTTAAACTAGCTAGGTAAATACAAGGAACTAATCTTGTTGTTTATGATGGTTAAATACAGAAAGACGCCGAGACTCATCTCCCCGTTCTTGAGACAAAGGAAGGGATCTCTATCTACATGCTTGATATGGATGGAGTTCACGATTGGTGGTTCAAGTACAGGTTTGTGTGAACCATATTGCCTTTTTTCTTCACTCTCCTAACCTTTTTTTTTTTTTTTTAAACCATTACCTTTACTCGTCAATGGTAACACAACCCTTTTTCATGTATGCTCTGAATGAAATACTTGAGCTTTTCATTTTGAATTTTTCTCCTTATTTAACTTTGCACTTAGATCATGCAGCAGCATTCATAGTCAATACAAAACGGGCATTTTCAGTTCAATAATATGAAGTGTGTTATCTTAGTGAAATGACTTCAGACCTACCATAAGGAGACAGGAGTAAAGATAGAAACATAAATCAAAACGAAGCCCCACAAGTTTCAGTGTTCTTAATTAGTAGAAAGATTAGCAGGCCTTTTTTTGATTTTTTTGTTTTCTGGATGAAGATACTGGCCAAATAACAGCAGCAGGATGTACGTCCTCGAGTCCACTGGTAAGATCTCCCCACAAACCCATAGGAGAAAAGATAAGAAAATCTTTTATATATCTTTGGCCTCCTCCATTCTGAATTAATTCAATTTTTTTATTTTCTTTTTTCGCTATGGGAAACCAAATATTACCAGGGGGATTTGTCAACGCTCACCACTTAGTAACTGGTGATTACATTCTCGTCTACCAAAACTCTGATGATGGACGATACGTAAGTGCATTAAACTGCTTTTCATAATCTTACTCTGCCCTTCGAAAATCCTTCTTCTACTCTCTCATGGAGCTTTGTAAAACTTAATCAGGTTATTGAAGCAAAGAAGAAGGTAGAATATGAAGCTTCGAGGGCCTTCAACGAACATCTCGCAATAAACGAGTCAACAGCCGACTCCCAATTCCCTCCAATCCCTGATCAAGAAAATTTATATGAATACGAGTACGAGTACAATGCTGCATTCATGGATGACTCGCCCCTCGATTATGTTGGCGATTCGATAAACTTACCGAGGTTTGAACCCGAGATAAATTTTGAATCCATGGGAGATTATGATAATAAAGACTTGCTGTGAGCTGTCAGTTTAGCTGGTTGATTGGTGGGGGTGGGGAGTTTGGTGATTATGAAGAACAGTTTGTGGTTGGGTTAAGTAAAAAGGAAAAAAAAAAAAAGCTTTGCACATATATATATAGCTGAAATAAAGGGTACCGGCCAGATGGGATAACTGGGTCATAGCCTGCCCTTCATATATGTGCTATATAGATAAGCCCTTTTGAGGCCCTAAAAGAAAGGTCTTTTTTATTTTGTTGTAGTAATGTGTTTAAGATCTGCTGGTATTATGTAATGAACTGAAGTTATCCTCTCAGCATTAAAAGAAAGAAACTATTTTTGCTTTCTTTAGTCAATGGTTTACTGCCACAACAACATGTGGTCTTGACTCTTATGAACCCCAACTCAAAATACATCAAGTTGGGTTAGAGCAAGAGAAACACCGTCGGAAGATACAACAATGCTGACAAAACTGGATTTCCATAAACAATTTCAATAACCCTTGCAGATTGGAAAATTACTACGTCTCCATCTGTGATAGCAAACAAAAATTGATACTACAAATTAAATCATGACTGTTAATTTTCCCCCAACTCAAGCATTAAACTTGTATCTCTCACTGGGAAATGGATAACCCATGAATAATGGAACCCAATATACTGTACTAATAATAGTAGCACAATGAATCTAATCTAACACTAAGTATGTATGTAACTATAAAAAAAGGAAGAAGATAGATGTAGACACATGTTGATGACAGACATACTGCAACCAAGAGGTTTTCCCTTGAAAAAAGCTTAAGATGTGAAGTATCATTCAATCTCTTAATCTGCCACACAAATCTTGTTGGACACAGCCAAGAAGTGCGGTCAACAGGCATTTGATTGGGACTGAAAACCCCAACACAAGTAGACACGAGGGAATGATTATTACTATCACTGTTACTACTAGTCCTCATGTCCAAGTCTTGTACTACGACATGGGGGGACATCAGCCCCGTTGTCGCCAGTTGTCACGATCTGAAGCCTGCTCTTGCCTGATTTCTTGTCGCCCGGGTCGTGGATCGAGTTCAGAGTCGGAACTAACTCCACCTGCCTGAGGGACTCCACTCTCGCAAAAATCGTTTCTCCACTAAGACTAAGCTCAATGTCCGAACTTCCCAGTGCCCTTGGCTCATTTCTGTTAATGCATCTCATGTTTGTACCTGCTCCTCCATGAAATTTAGTGCAAGGTTACAGATGGCACGGTTCATGGATTTCTAAAACCATGACACACAATGAACCATTGATGATCAAGAAAAAGTTACAAGCAAAGGTCACTAATTAAAGAGTCGTCAACTCAAGTTGCTACAAGATTCAAAACGAATAGCATCTGGGCAGGACTACCAATTTCGTACAGATGACTGTGTTTGGGCACCTGGCTACTGATAAACACGTAGGCTATCAAATGATTTATTATTATTTTTTTTTTTTAATAAATAAAAATTATTGCAAAGTCATCAACTTATATGAAACACAAATAAACGAAATTCAAAGTGTCGGCATTCCTTACTGCTGTTATAAAAATTTAATCTTGACAAGAGAAAATGATTTTGGGCTCAAAGTTCCGTATCACTCTCACTTTTACAAATTACTAGTAAAGCGCACGTTCGCACGTGGTCGCGAATGTTTTTTCTTGCCGATTAAGTTTAGTAAAATAAATTAATTAAAATATTAAACATATCATTGCAGGAATAAAATAAAATGTAGAACAAATGAGCTAGCTCCTAATATATTTTTTTTGTCCAAATATAACATAACGATGTACTAATATAAAAAAAATAAAATAACATATTACAACCCCGACAAAAATACATGAAAAATGACTCCATAATTTTTTTTTTACTAAATAACTAAATAAAGACAATGTATATTATAAATGCATTAGTTCTTTTTTTTATTTATATTTGATGATTCAAGATTGATTTTCTTTCATTTTTGATTTGACGTTCTCATAATAAAAACATTCATACCCATTCGAGTTCTATACATCAATAGGCAATTTCTTCTTAAGTCATTAGGCAAAAAGTCTACTTTATTGAAACAATGCAAAATATTTTGTCCAAACATATAGTCAAATTCTATGATTATGATCTTTATAAAGTATTGCTAATAACAATTAATGAATATCTCTGTGAAATAATCAACCATGTCACTAAAATTGCTGATATTATCTTTTTTTTTAAACTACTACATTATTCTTTCTTCATATAGACAAATTGACACCTCTCCCATGGAGGCATCGCTCACGGGGTGAGAATGAGTTTTATTTCCAAATAAAAGTTACCTTTCAAAATATAGATTACATATACTTCTCCCGAGACGCTAAATTATTTTTTTAAATCATCACACATTACATGAAGACTAAATTATTTTTTGAAATCATCATACATTACATGAAAGTATATACTCTAGAGTACTTGCACATATGTTCGAGCACAATACCCCAATAAAATTGTAAATATTTCTATCAAAATATGATAATTTCATTCAAAAATTCAAAAATATTTTTATCATGCTCCGACATTTTCTTTTCAATGTTATTTATTTTGAAGATAGACGAACTATATAATATGTTGTTTGCAAATTATTGAGCAACTTGGTTGATCCAATGATTTCAAACGCTTTTATTATACAAATTTTTGCATCAATTATAAAGTTTCAAAAATTTATGATAAATATCTTTTCTTGATTCTTTACAACAACATCAACAACAACATCATAGTCTTTAGTTCCAAGCAAGTCGGGGTAGGCTAGAGATGAAGCAAGTCGGGGTATGATAAATATCTTTTCTTGATTCTTTAACAATGAAAAAAAAAAACAATGAGATAATATTGAGAAACATATCATTTGTTAAAATATTAGAGAGGAGAAAAATCAAAATTCTATTATATTATAATACTCTTCGCCATCTGTGAAATTTATTACAAAATCATTATTAAAATATATATTATGTATTACAAAGTTTTTTATTTTTTTATTTATTTTAAAAATCAAAATTGATAATATAGGGTCAATATTTATGAGAATTTAAACGCCAGTAATAAAAAATGTAGTAATTATAAAAGACTTTTGTTTCTAGATGTTGATATTCATATTTCTCTGAAATAAAATAATCAGACTTCTTTTTTCTCATTGCCTTAATATTGTTTTATTTGTTTCTTATTATATTCACAGATAATATTTTATTTGTTAAAAGAATTAGGGCATATTTATATGTATTGTTTAATTTGTTTACACATCTTATATAATTATGTTGTTATCAAAGTATCTTATTTATTTGGCTACAACTATAATCACATAAGATAAAATATTATTTAATATTATTTATTTATTTATTCATAATAATATATATTTGATAAAATTGTACTTTTATACTGTTTATAAGATTAAAAATTTCACATTTTTTTTTTCATTTTTCGATAAAACATAATGTAACTAACTCATTTTCATATTCATTGAAAGTATATGTTACAACGATTATGGTGTTCCCTTTGAAGAAGTATTGAATAATAGTTTAGCATACTACTCATTTATTTCTCTTTTTAATTCACATAATTAAAATTGACAATAGTTGTAAGTTTACATCTAGTTTTTACTTTTTTCGTAGTATTAATATTTTAAATCTATGTAAGAAAAATGTCCACATGTTTATCTTATGTTAATTTATACTTAATAAAATTTATTTAACATAGATTTATAATCTATTTTATGAGATACTTTTAAGTCCATTTATTATTTTTAATTGGTATTGATAATATATATATATATATATGTATATTATTTTATATCGTTATAAATAATTATAATATTTTTATTTTATTTACAATAAATTGTCAAATCAAACATCATTAGAAAGAAATGATGTGATGTATTACATATAAAAGGATAACAAATAGAAAAATATTAAGTATTTCGAAAGTCAAAAATTTAATGTTAGAAAGTAATGAAATATTTAACTAAAAAATTAATACCAATTCTAACGAATATTTAAATGTTACTCCTCTCATTTGAATTATTTCAATAAAAAATATAACAAAAATATTTTGTTAGAATCATGGGCAGATCCATTTTCTTTAATACGGTCGACATATGGCTACTTCTCAAAACATATAGCATAATGTATCTAACAAAAATTATGGAAACATTTTTCATAATTTTATTCATTCCTCATATTCAGAAAGTAAAATTAAAAGAAAGAAAGATAAATAATGAATTAATTTGTGACTCAACCAATTATAATTTAATTCAGCTCATAACTTTATTAAAGTTATACCATAAACACAGTATCACAAATAAAGAAAATATGATAAATTTAGAAATTATAATTTCACCCTTTTAATTTTGTTTTTTAATCTTGATAATAGTTTCTATTCTCTCTTTTGCCACATATTTTTTCTCTAATATTTTTCATGTCTCATTTAACTAATGTATATAGAATTAGTTATATATTAATAATTGAAAAATTCATCAATTATATTGCCGAGTCAACTATACCACAACATAAATTTTTTGTTCATAAGAATTTTACAAAATATATTATTTTCAATGATCTTATTATGTTGAAGAAAAATTATGTTTTTTTGTTAATTTATTTTAACTTGTCGCGACTGTATTGATGTATTAAAAATGTATTACAGGTGAGAAATATGATAAATTACTAAAGAAAATATGATAAATCTAGAAATTATAATTTCACCCTTTTAATTTAATTTTATTTATTTTAATCTCGATGATAGCTTCTATTCTCTCTTTTGCATATTTTTTCTCTAACTTTTTTCATGACTTCTTTAACTAATGTATGTGTTATTATAGTTATATATTAATAATTTACAAATTCATCAATTATATTGTCGAGTCAACTATACCACAACCTAAATTTTTTGTTCATAAAAATTTTAAAAAATATATTATTTTGCAATGATTTTATTATGTTGAAGAAAAATTATATTTTTTTGTTAATTTATTTTAACTTGTCGTGACTGTA